CAGTAGTGGTTGCTTGTATCTCTAGCTTGATGAGACCGTAGCAGTAATTTGGTAACTGTATTATTGCTTCACCATAAAGGAACGTCTCCATGAAAATATGGTAAGTGCAAGAACAAGGACAAATCAAAACACGAAGAGAAACAAAGTTCGGAATAAAAGTATTCATGTCTAACCGCAGCAATCCAACAGCATACTGCAGGCCGACAAAGGATATTTCACGTCGTGGATGTCCTACCGCAACATCAAACAGAATGGTCCTAACATAGAATAAATTTCTTTTGGTGAACTCTTACTTCTGCCGGACGCCTCGAACTCTACAATACGACAATGCGAGCGATGATAAGATATTGACAAAGATTATAGCCGAATTGTAGCATGATACATACCAAATCATCAAGTGCATGCACATGACATGTTGTACATCAAACATATAGCAAAGCTCAGAAGTACCAAAGCAGATACCATAAATATATATTCTGAATAGTCCTGGGTTGACAAATCTCTAAGGAGAGGGTTGTGAAACACATCCTCGCTGTATGAGCATTGATTGTTATCGATGAAGTACTGTGCTTGAGTTGACAGTCACGCATACACACAGAGCCTCCTCTGCGCGTGGTGCACAGCACCCCATTGCATCTTGTAGTATCTGGCGCTAATTTGACAACGGGATATGAGTAAAACTATATTTTTCTTGACAAACGACAAGTCTGTTCTCTACGCGCATAATAAGATTTTATCTTTTGTTTGTATCGAGAGTATGTTAAATCATAGACGACCCGAGGACCTGAAGCAAAATCTCTCTCATGGAGGTGTTCATCACTCATGTGAATGCGCTGGTAAGACACTTCCAACAACGTCTTCACAAAAATGACTCTAGGGAGTAATCGACTGCAGCCGTGAAGCCGCGTATTCTGAGTCTCTTGAGTGTATGGATAGAAAAAATCTCTGAGGAACAGAGTTTGATAGGCCATAAATTTGGTCATAAATTTGGCCATGCTTCAGAGAGAGCAGCAGTGCGTGGCGATACCAATCCTCAATCGCGGGCACCGCATGAATCGGCTCATAGATCCTTATCCTCTATAAAAGTATGATTGTCACTCGAGAGCTGCTAAAATAGTAACTGTTGCACGTATTGGCGCGCCAACCGGCCTTCTGTCCACGATCGAAATTCTCGTCTACCCTATAAGAAAAATAACAATTGACGGACTCTGTCCAAGAGTTAAGAGCTTTTTTTGGCCGAGCTGACGGCAAACCGTCCTTAGCAAACGGTTGCGATTACCTACCTTCATGGAAGGCCTCGATCAGTCGAAGCTTGCATCGCGATCTTCTACGTCTACCTAGTTTCTAATCAGGATGTGGTGGATTGTGTATCAAATGCGGAGCGCCGCGTTTGTTGTCATGAGGGTCGACTAAAGTGGGGGGGTGAAGGCTATACAAGCACACCATATATGATAAGCTCCAGCCAAACTAAGTAAAAAGGCATTCTATGTTGTTGCATACGCTACATCTTCGGAAGTATTGAATTGTAGAGCCATCTGTACCC